AATTAACAAGAATTTGAACAGATTGAACAATCGCTGGACCAATCCAAAATGGTCCAAAATATTCATTGGACTGGATTGGACCAAGTCCATTTGTAATGGACTCACATTGGACTGGACCAAATCCAGTCCAATTGACACCCCTAGGTCCTACGATGTTTCTAGGGAGAGAGAAAGCAAAGAGTAACACAATCTTTATTATCATTTTTCTATTTGGAGAAGACTATGAAAACTTTTAGCACAATGTGTGAATCACTTTGGTGAAAATAAATTCAGAGTAGCTGATTATGCTGATACTTTGTCAATGTGCTATTTCCTAAACAAGGGGAATCGATATGCCTTACGAATAAAATATTTTGCTAGTTATAGGACTCCCTCTAGGTCCTTTGGGGACCCATATTTGACATTACGCATCATAATGGTGGTTAATAGAAGGAATCATTTTTATCTTTTTTGGCGATAAAAACCATGATTTGATTGATTAAGACCATCAAAATCAGTCACCTCGGTACGATGTATTCAAACCACCAAAAGATGCAGCTGTCTAATGTGAAATGGTTGTTGAGAGTGTGTAGGAGTTGGACAAATGGATCATATTATTTTAATTGATCAAAATTTTCGAGAGCAAAAGGTATTTTTCCATCTATATTAATATTATATAAAGAAAATAGAGGAGATCGGATTCAGTCAGTACATCATCATTCTATCAGCTTTTACGGCCTTGCATTGGGAATATTTCCATATTTATATACTTTATTTTATAGAGAGATATTCTCAAAACAAGCTGTAAGAGGTTATTTAGAATTGCATTGACTGAAGCCAAACTCGAAATAGAAAGGCAAGGAATCTTTTCAAAACAATACTCACGAAGGCCTCCTTTCGTTACTCACACATATGGTCTATTTGTTTTCAAATTAGAATTATAAAAATTGGCAATAAACCGTCTTAAGTCTTGGACTCTTGACTCATTATAACTCCCTCTAATAAAACCCACCTCTCCCTCTTAACACTCTTTTGATAAAGTAGGGATTTAAATTGGATTGATTGTGTCAAGTCGAAGGGCTCCCATGTTTGCTAACCTAAACCCTAATTAAGTTAGACGCAACACAAAACTAAAATGGGATTGGGTAGGTATGAACATGCTTGGGCAAGTTGTTCTAGTTTGAAAGTCTTTTTGTTAATGTTTTGTGCTTCTTTTAGCTTTCAAGGACAAGGTACTCAATTTGAAGCCATACAGAAACTTTACAACTCATTTATTTCTCTACTTTCCATACTATAAAAAATCATCCAAGAAGTTTATTTCTAAGTTACCATTGTTTCTACTGTTAACTACTCATCATTAAGAAGAGTTTATTGCAAATTCAAGGTTAATTTGGGAATAAATTTTTAGCTAATTATTCTACTTGAAAAGTGGAAAAATTAATTGATTATATGGTTTATTTACCGCTCCTACACCAAGTGGACACACAAGAGTACTCAAACTTTCAAAAGCTGTCAATTTAGTCCTTACGGTTAACAGTTTCATCACATGATGATATGTATAAATACATGATGACATGTACAAATTAAAATTACCCTTGAAAATAAAACACTATTCATTATCTTCTACCTACCTTAAGACTGAAGACGTGGATTGATGAATTCGAACATATAAACACCAGTGCGTGTATGGATGGAGCCATCAACACTTGACCCACGAGCAAGCGAACCAGAGCATCCATATCCTTGTATGTTCTATTTTTTATCTTCATAAAGAAATCTATATATGAGTCTGATTTAATCGATTGTTTTTTCTCTCTTCTTCAAGTTCAGTAAGGACATCTGCAATGATTTGTTAGAAGAGTGAAACCCAATATGTCTTATAGTTGTTTGAAGTTGAACTTGGTAAGGTTTAGAGATAGATGATACCATTTCTATATCCGACTCCCTGGTATTTGATAGAGAAGTCCAAGGTTTCCATTGCTGTATTTTCCCTTTTAACAAAAACGATTTTTCTCTTTCGATTTTGATCGTGGGTTTTTCTCTTCACAGAATTATCCCCAAGACTCTGATGCGCAAACAGGCTCAAAAATTTATAAATTTTCTCTCTCATATTTATTATTGTCTCTTTTTTTGCAATTAACCTTCTAACGAATCCTTTAATAGATAACGATATTTATTATTATCTCTTTTTGCAATTAACCTTCTAATTAATCATTTAATAAATAACTGGAGAAACAGTAGGAGAGGTAAAACCTGCAGCAAACATTCACGAAAGCAGAGATGGCACGCCACTCTGGTTTATTGCTTTACCGGGTATGTACCTTTTTCTTATTCATCATCCCCATGTAATAAATAGTTGGAAGAAAAGGGGAATCCTCCATTTTCCTTCGTTATTCACTCAAAATGGAACCCTCGAGTTATTGGAGGTCATCATTTAGACTTATCACTTAGACCCTGTTCATGGGCCGGGTAGCCCAATGGCCCAGCCCAGCCTGCACCCCGGTTGGGCTTGGTTATGCAATTAGGTCCGCGGGCCTGACCTCGGGCTTAATACAGTAAGCCCGACTGTGTTTCGGGCCGAGTTCGGGAATTGTTAAAAAAGTTCGGCCCAACTCAGTATTATATATTTTATAAAATATATAATATGTATTTTATATATTATATAAAATATACAAATAATATAATATTTATTAAAATATATATTTATAATTTAATATCCGACCATTAGGCCTACAACTTGGGCCCGAACCCGGCCTCATAAAAAGCCCGAAGCCCAGGCCTGGGCCTACAACTTGCTCGTTTTCAAATTGACAAGATTATTCCCCTCTCCCTTAAGGCTATTTTTGATTTGATAGAAACAATGTTCAAAATATCAACAACATGTGATGGTTGCTACATGTATAGTTTTCTAGGGTCACCAATAGCTATATATTAAGGCAAGGTGCTAATTGGCTGGTTTTGTAAGGTCTCTTGCTGGTTGTAAAGGACACTTGGGATCGAATCCTCCCTAGATCAGGGTTAGGGGTTATGGGTTTGGAGGTTGGGCTACCACTATTGTGAACCCCATGTAGAACATCTTAGATGATGTTTGGAAGTGTGGACGTTTTTTGGGATCGATTTCAAAACAAAGAAAAAACCATCCACGTTTGGTAAATCCATTTTTCATAAATAAACACCTTCATATGTTTGGTTGTGTTTCTGCCACATAGGCAGTAAACAATATTAATGCTGTTTGGTAAGGTGATTTCCATCACCATTTTTTATGTATGTGTACACATTATTCCGTATGATAGTGACAACTAGGATACATGTAAGTGCCACATCATATAGCCATTACATGAATTTGACGTTTCATGCAACGGGAGGGATGTAAATTATGATGCATGCCTGTTTTTCACCGTTTTTTTTTTTTTTTTAAATCGCCTGAACCAAACAGTCATGTAGGCGGTGAAAAGTGGAATCACCTACATGGATCCGTCGTGGCACTATTTTTCAGAAAAAAACGCCCATCATACCAAACATCCTCTTAATAAACCAAGTGTTTTCACCAAAATTATTTTATATATCATCTATCAATTTTATCATTTCACACAATAAAACTTATAAAAAAAACTAGAAAACATTTATATATAATTAACAAAGTAATCGATTTGGATCTGAATCAGTCTGAATCAATTCAGGTTAGTTGGATAAAACCGACCCATTGACACTTGACAGCCCTATTTTGGATGCAGCCAACTGGAACTTGTTGCCATGTAAGCCACCACATGTTTGAGTCAAGTAAAAACAGAATTGGATGCCTATTTTGTCCAATTCAATTAATTATTGTGGCATTGGATTGGATGACAAAGGATTGACGTGGATCAAAATTACTCTCAGCCAAATAGACGGAAATATTAGATTGGATTAGATTGATTTCATCATTCTCGCATGTGAAAGAGGTGGAGTATCTATGCAAGCAACTGGTTTGGTTCCTGCCTTCTGGTTCCCCCAATATAGAAACTCATCTTCATTACCTATTAACTGGATCCTTGCCTTAGTCAGCCCAACCAAATTGTTTTATTACACTAGATAGCTGATTTTATTGACCTTATACTTGCTCTCGTTGAGCACAAGCTATTCTGTTTTTACCCCAATCCATTTAAATATGCCCTTCGAGTTAATCCAATCCAGCAATAACTCTAGTTGGTTGGAGGCAAGGTTTAAAATATGGGGTTTCCAATCGGTTTAGGGGGTGGGCGGACCTCAAACCGATCATGTTGAATCAGATTTAAAAAAAAATAAAAAAATAAAAAACAACTACTGATATATCTCTACCAACGTATCAGGCGTATCGATATTTCAAATCTTGATTCTGAACGCTATGACTGTTCCAACTGGATGTAGAACCCATGATAATGTTTACATTGAACCCATGAATTTAATATTGGGTAAATCATTATTATGATTAGTTTCACAGCCAGCTGAAGAACTATCACGCTCAATTAATCCAAATTAGGTTAGCTTAGAGCTAGGGCATGCATCCGACCACCTTTGCATTTTCAGATTAAAACTCAAAAAGTTAAACCCTAAAGCCTAAAATCTGAACTCCATACCCTTAAATCCTAAAAGCCCTAACTCTCTATAAAACAACCCTTAAACCCTAAAACCTAAATCCTTAAACTTTATCATAAATCTTAAATCTTAAAACCCTAAAATCTAAATCCCTAAACCCTTAAACCTTAAATTTATTTTTATTGTATAAAACGACTTTGGTACGACGCATGTCCTCCAACCCTGTAATTGGTCCATCTTACAATTTCCTTGGTTCTCCACCTTTGTCCATACCGATGTTTTTTCTTTCATCATTGACCCGGAAAGTTGGACCAGTCTAGCCAACATGACACAGCCCAACATGAAGTTAGTGGACATACCTGGGCTACTCATAAAAACCCAACTCAATCTTAGGCTGGGTAGTAATTTTGGGCCCAAGTGCTTTACTAGTTGTTGTATGGGCCAGGCTAGGCATCTTACTCTGACTTTCAGTCATCACAAACAAAACCCTAAAACCGAGTAAGAGCTCTGTTTAAAGAGGCAAGAGGAAGGAAGGTCGTCTTCCAGTGCTGTCGCAGCGCCGAAACCGAAACCCCAGCGTAAGGCATTCCTCTTCTTTTTTTATCTGCAGATTTACAGATGTTTTGCTAGTTCTTCCATCTTTTTGTCAAATTGTTTGATCCGTTTCATCGTTTAGCGATTACATTTCGATTTTTTGTTTTATCATTTTGGTTTGATCCTGCAATTTCTCTTTTATTTTTAGGGTTCGTTTTATGGAACTCTTTTCTTAGTTAGTAAAATGGGTTGTGTGGATGTTTTGGTCTGACGTGTAGTTTGTTGATCTTGGAAGAACCGGAAGACATGGCGGTACCTCTGTTATCGAAGAAGATTGTGAAAAAGCGTGTCAAGAAGTTCAAGAGGCCGCAGAGCGACCGGAAGGTCGCGGTCAAGGTATAGTTCCTTCTGTTAGCTCAACTTAACAAACGACTCTGGATTTTTGTATACCGAAAATGTTTGTGTGTCAGGATGAAGTTGGGTAGAGAACTAGTGACGTAGCCTACTAAGTTGTACTGTATAAATTGGGGAATGGGTTTTTAGGATTAGAATCAGAGGCTTAAAACAGTTTTTCGATTTGTTTTCCGGGCTTGTGAGAGGGATTGGTCAAGAAAACTAAGATAGCCTATAAGCCTTTGCAGAATTTATTTATTTATTTTACTTGTTATTTGGTGGCACTACTAACGAATTTGTAATTACGTTATATGCTGAGTCATAGATTGAGGATTTCTTGTGTATGCCCCCCTTAATGCGATTGTCCTTATTTCTCGGTTGGTTGGTTAGTAGATGTAGGAACTTATGTTATCCGGATTTTATTTGATCCATAAATTGTATGAGTTCCCGGTTGATTATTCAACTTGAATAGAAGTTTTTGTAAGAACTAAGGAATTTTAAATCTCCTGCAGTAATTTTTTACTGTTTCTTCCTTTGTCACCTTAGCATGATAATATATGGCATCTCAAATGAGTAAGTTGTTATTTCCTGGAGGTTATGAAGTTGAACTATTATCCATTTTTAGCCAAACCAGGAATAAATTTCATATGTTATAGGTTTTGTCAAGTATGTTTAGTATCGATATATGAATAAACTTACTATACCTCTATAATAGGGCTGTGAATGAGCAGAGGCTTGAGTAAAATCTTGCTCATCTGACCTTGGGTTCAGGAAATTTGGGATGGACCCATGCTCAGTTGGGGTTGTAAGAAATCTAGGATGATGACTAATGAGGTACATGTTCAGTGTGTGAGGTCACAAATGATTGTATCTCAGCTTATTGATGTCTCTAATTTGTATTATGTAATGTTTTGGTCGTCAATTGTGTTATTTCACTTTATTTTAGTGAGTCATGCATTATATTGTGTTTTCCTTTAATTTGTAAACCTCCATTTTCAAGAGGAGGAATTTATTATATATAAAATGAATAGGAGTGAAGGATACCAAGGGGGAGGGAGGGGGTCCCTCAACACCCAAAAGGAGAAAAATCAAAGAAAAAGACAAGGCTCTTATTTTACGATATTCCTTTACATTTTCTTCATGTAGATGGCCTTTTCTTTCAAATATACAAAGAGGGTAATCGAGCAACAAGTACACCATTTCATATTGTTGTGGGAAACTGGGAATGAAAGAAACACTATGTTTAAAATCATTTACATTCTCAAAACTTGCTCAAATTACAATTGACAATTTGGCACATGCCAATATTGATAAAATAAGACAATTTGAGGCTAACAGTTGCAGTGCAAAAAATGTTGCTCTTTAATACCTCAAACTTGAAGGTCTCACCAATTAATGTGCTTCTGCATATTGGTGCACCTATCATGTACCTACTTGATTTCCACTGGGACAGTCTTCAGACAAATTTTTGAAAAATTATGCTTTGATCGTTACCTTTATGCTAAAAGACATGGCATATGGTGTATGTGGTACTTACTAGAGTGTTGAGGCCTTTCACTGGCTTTGGTGTTTGACCACTGATAATGGGTTTCTGAGATTTGCTGCATTAATGGTTAAACTAGCAGTTGACATCTTTGTTTAATATCTTTTAAGTCCTACATTTTATATTGTGGTTTATAATCTCAGCATGAGGTACAACGATCTTTGTGTCCTATTGCGTCACTGTTTGGTTGATAATTCATGGTTGGGTTTAATGTGTGCCCATGACAGCCAAACTGGCGTAGGCCCAAGGGTATTGACTCTCGTGTCAGAAGAAAGTTCAAGGGATGCACCTTGATGCCCAATATCGGTTATGGCTCAGACAAGAAGACTCGCCATTATCTTCCAAATGGCTTCAAGAAATTTGTGGTTCACAATGTGAAGGAGCTTGAACTTTTGATGATGCATAATAGGTAATAAGCTGTCTGAACTCGCTTTGCTTTTTGCTATTATATTTAAACAATGGAAATCACAATATTTCCACTCAATTCTTATACTTCTCTTTTGATGTTTGTACACAGGACCTACTGTGCTGAAATTGCACACAATGTGTCTACAAAGAAAAGAAAAGAGATTGTTGAACGAGCTGCTCAGCTTGATGTTGTTGTCACAAACAGATTGGCCAGGTTGCGCAGCCAGGAGGATGAATGAGCTAGAGTCGTCGAGTATCCCAAGTTCACCCCTGTAGTACACTAGGTTGAAAGTTTCCAAAGAGAAGGATTTCCTTTTTTTTTCGGATTTTTTGTTCATGTTTTACTTCAAATTTTGCTTTTTAATCATCCTTAAAGCTATAGCTTCCATTGCTTGCTGGAGTTTGCTCCTTTCCGAGGTCAATTTGTTGTTATTTTCAGTGTTGATTAATGGCCTATTGTCAACTTTTTGAATCGGTTGATCATAAACTTGTATTTTCAGTACCAGTGGCAATGCTATTAATCAAAATGACAGAGTACCAAGTAGAATATGGTGCATGATGTAGGAGAACTACAAGTAATTGATTGGAGATACTTGTTGCCGGATTTACCCAGCCACAAGGAAAAGCTATCCATTAGGTTTTTTTTTTTTTTGAAATGGTGCACATTCCATTTTTTTGATAGAGGTTCATAGTTCTTCCAAACTAGACAACCCATTGGATGAATGCAGCTTTCCCATATTTTGAGGATGTCTGGTACGATTGCTGTTGCTGTTTCTACTCTACCTCAAACGATTGGAGTGATAAATAAAAGGGTTAAGTACGCTGCAACCCAATGTAGAATTCTGAATGACAGTCCCCCATAGTCTACTAATAGCCCCTCTTATGAACTGCATACTGTCTGTGAATTTGGATCAATTTACAAGCAGGATTCATCCCCGTCATTCTCCCCCAAGGATACGTTTGTTTGGGGTGGAAAATGGAACCGGGGTAAACTTTACACCTAGGATCGGTTTTACATTAGTTCGGAAAGAGTAATTTTACACCATAAATCAGTGTAAAATTTCATTTTTATTTTTTTTACACCGATAATTGATGTAATATATACATCGAAATTATTGATGTAAACGTCTCTTTCTTCCTTCCTGTCGCTCTCTTCTTTTTCCCTCCTTTTTCTTCCTCCCTGCAGTGGCAGATCTGAACCCACCTCCTCTTCCATTCTCTCTCTTTCTCTCACGATGTAATATATACATCGAAATTATGGATGTAAACGTTTCTTAATTCCTTTTTGTCGCTCTCTTCCTCTTGCCCTCTTCTTCTCTCTTCTTCTTCCCCCCTTTTTCTTCCTCCCTTCAGCGACAGATCTGAACCCACCTCTTTCATTTTCTCTCTCTCTCTCTTCTCCTTTTTTCTTCACTGTTTCACCGATAATCGATGTAATATATACATAGTCGTTCTCATGATTCTGCTTTCTCTCAAGATCTAAACCCTCAAGACAAATGGTTTCACTGATCATGTCACGTTTTAGGGAAGCCCGAACCGATGGACTTAATGAAGCTTTTAGTGTTTTCTTCCTTGTATGCACTCCAACTGAAGAGATGAAGAAACTTGTTTCGGAGAGCTACGATCTTGTCGAATCGATTTCTCTCTCTCTCTCTCTCTTTTCCTTCTCTCTTCTTCTTCTTTGCCCCTTTTTCTTTCTCTGTTCCATCACCGCCGCTGCATGGTTACAATGGAAGATCTGAACCCACCTCCAACCTTTCTCTCACCATTTTCTCTCTTTCGTTCTTTCTCTCTCGCTTCTCCTCCATTTTCTTCTTCTTCTTCTTCCCCTGCTTCCCTCCTCTGTAGATCATCTTCTCCTCCTCTGCACAATCTCACCGAATTTAAACCTTGACAACCAAACATGGTCGATGTAGATTGTCTTCTCCTTCCCCAAACTTGAGAACATCCATTCCAGGTTCTTCCGTGTTGCCATGCTCGCACTGAATTTTAGAGCAGAGCAGAGTGTGAGAGTAAAGCAGAGTTTCAGAGCAGAGTTTCACTTTTATATCGGAACAACCAAACAACATGAGAGAAAATTTCTAAAATACCCGGGTTCAATTTTCCAAAATACCCGGGTTCAATTTTCCATCAATCACTAAACCGGAATCAAATTTTTCATCGGTGTAAATTTGAACTTACACTTAAAACAAATAAGTTAGAATGATTGGGCTTCAGGGCCTTAGAGCAATACAAAGAGCCTCTAACACGTGCATTTTTGAGATATGCCTGTTTCAATCATATACATGCGTAGAAACTGTTGTATGCCAATATGTTTAGTTAGTATCAGTTATCGTGCCAATCACACCCTTGGTGCTTGCTTTTTTCACGAGCCAAAAAAGCTAGATTCATGGGAAAGCTTCTTATCTGAATTAACTAGAAAATCATAGTTTAAAATTTTAAAAGATGGATCATGTCAATAATCATATTTTTAGCATAAAATAAAAGAGAGTACAACTATATATGTTTGGGTTGATATAAAATAAGATAGAAACAGAAAATTCGAAGTAAAGTTCTTAGCTTATAATTTTCGTTATTTATTAATTACTTTCTATTATACCATACAAGACAATAAGAGTATAAGATTAAGCTGAATCAAATGACTTTTTGTATCTCTTGTCAAAAATCACAGCAATAAGATTTTGTACCAAGGTTTTGGACAGTCGGATTGTTCATTTGTTCGGTTTCAAAATTGGTTAGGTACCGGTTATATGTGTCACCCTCAAACCATTATTTTTTCCTGAATGCTTTAACTTCGTGGTATACCCACCACTGATAAAATACATGGATCCCATACTGAGGTTGAATAATTTTGGGGCCATGTATTTTATGATGACTGATTTGCAGTGTTATAATTGGTTTTACAGCCTTCTCGTTATAATTGGTTTTACAGCCTGCTCAACTACTATTGCATTCTGCTAAGTACAGTATCGTCTTGGTGCATTTCTCAGCTTGCGCCTATCTTGCTACAGGATCGTCGGAGGTTTTCAGTAAGCAATGGTCATCACAGCGTCACTTAGGGTTTCGTTTCCGTGTATTCCTACTGTTAAACCACGACAGAATTTCACAACTGAGAGGTCGATTCTAATGGACAATGGTCGCATGGCTCTTGGGTCCTCACAAATCATTCGAGCACAGCAGGTGCGCGACGCCCTTTCAAACTCCACCCAAGTCAGCTGGGCTTCGTTCCTTTTTGATTTATGGTCACGGTTTCAGTTGATAAGCCTTGAGTTAAAACCGTTGATTCTTATTCGAACATAAATTTATTTTTTTGGAGTATTATTTGATTTTTGAGGTGCTTGGATTGGCTTTTTATAAGTTATTTAGATGTTTTATTCAATGATGAAAGAAAAAAAGATCTTTTGGATTAAGTTCTGATGACAACTACGAAGTTCTTACTTATAGAGCTCTAATCACCGTTGCAGATATTGTTCTCTGTGTAACTATAGAATATTCCCAACTACATGGGTCGGCTACATGAATCCTGTTTCACCATTCCGTTAACTTTAATGCCATATCCATTGTTAAATTATGAGTATTACTTTTATCAATTTATTTCTGGGTCATATTAATTATTGGAATTTGGAAATGCGTAGAGCCGCCTCTCCGTGCTGTACAAAATCAAGGTGATTTGTTTGGAGATGCTCAATGATATAAACCACTTAATCCAACTAACCAAATGGTTTAAATTTTCATTTGGCTAAAGTTATATTGATGCCTATCTTTTAAGCAGTTATATTGTTTTCCTCCCTACACCTATTTCTGCCCTGAAGAAGGGTCCTGCAACTGATTCATACTGTCCAGCCTTCTAATGGGGTGTCCAGTTGATAATATCTATCCATTTTTTAATTATATAACCCATATGATGCCTACACAAGAAGGCTTATTTTGAAAATGTGGCTTTCTTTTGAGCTGGTTTGTTCCCTTAGATAAAGGACTGGGGAAGGAATTTGGAGAATCCTTTTGACCCGCAAACTAAATTACCATGTTAAAGATTTTTAAGTCATTTAGGGAAGGTCAGTATACAACCTGGCTAATGTATGTATATATGAATGCATATGTATATAATAACTTCACCAAGGCCTAGAACTTAGCCCTTATTTGTTTGCACTAGTCATGGACAAATTGGCTTAACATATTCAGGAGGAGGTCCCATGGTGCATGTTATTTACTGATGGCATGGCTTAAAAAAAAATACTGATGGCATAGTATTAATTGATGAAACTAAAGAAGGATTAAATGTGAAATTAGATTTATAGATAAGTACCTTAGAAACAGGAGGTTTAAAATAAGTAGGATTAAAACAGAATTCATGCAATGTAAATTTAATAATAGTGGGAGCGAAAGTTAGGGTATAGTTAGGATTGGAGACTGAGAGATATTTCAATATGAGCTCTTCCATTACCTTGGTTTTACAATCCACAACAAAGCAGAGATTGAGGAGGATGTAGCCAACTAGCCTGTAGAATTAAAGCAAGATGGGAAAAATGGAGGGTGCATTTGGAGTCTTATGTGATGGGAGAATACCACTTAGGCTAAAAGGAAAATTTTATAAAATGGTTATGAGGTCAGCAATGTTCTATGGAGCAGAGTGTTGGATGGTCAAGAAACATCCCCAAAAAATGAGTGTAGCAGAAATATAATTGATGAGATGGATGAGTAGGAAAGCTGGAAAGTATAGGATTAGAGTAAAATGGTCTGGGCACATGTAGAGAAGAACATCTACAATACCAGTAAGAAATGATTTGTTATAAATTGAAGGGGCCAAAAGAGCTAGGGGCAGACCAAGAAGGATATGGGTTTAGGTAGTGATTTAAGAATCCATAATATAACAATGGATATGACACTGAATATTATTAATTTTTCTTATTCTTTTAATATTTATTCCTTGATATTCTTAAGAAAACTAATGAGTTTTATTTATTTGAAAGAAAGAGAAAGCAGTACAACTCCTTGCCTCCTTACCCTTTCCAAGGAGAAGGAAGGAAAGGTGATCACTGTCCTAGAACCGACCAGATAATGCCCTAAAACAGTATCATATGATGTTACTCCAAGTTAAGAAGATCCAAGTAGATATGTTGTTTATTAATATTTACTCCTTTTCTCACTAGGCTATCTGCCAATGTATTATCTGTTCTTGGTATCCATCCAAACAAGTGGTTTAAGCTGGTTGTCAAGATTTTCCTTCTCTCCTAGGAGATTCTTTGAGTCCATGGACATTTGAATTGAACTTGTATAATCCTGTTTGAGAGGCCCCTTCTGTCCAAAACTGAGCCATATCCTATATTCCTACCTTCAGACCATGTACTCAAGCTCTTTCTTCTCTAGTCGAGCCCCCATGTCCTTTTGACCCTGAAAACATCATGTAAATTTCACCAATTCCATGTCTAAATGCCCCACAATCCCTAATGACCCTGAAGTGCCTAAGGAACAGCCATTAAAATTGAATTTGGATATTCTCGAAGTGTAGGCTTCCATTTGTTTAATGCTGGGGATCCATCAAGCTGTTCTTTAGTGAACACTCGGTGTTTCAGTGAGGTCAAAGCTAGAGTCGTGAAAGTTCTTGGTTTCTGTTTTTGATAATGTTTAAGACAAAAGAATAAAACCTTGTATACATGATTTTCAAAAAGACACTGCTGAAAAATTTCAAAATATGTTAAAATTCAGATCAAGTAAGAAAACTGATAATTTTCCACAGGCAGGAATTGCAGACAAATATACCATAAAGTTAATGGTGCTTGTTTGAACCCATTCAATTTATTATAGAAATTAGAAAAGGAATTCCTAGTAAATGGAAAGAAAATAATACCTTGATTGTAATAATGAGTTAGTAGACAAGGCTACTTATGCCCTTTGAAAAGAAAACATTTCTAACTCTTAATTAGAGATAATCCTTCTTTATAAGAAATGCGTTTTACCCGAATCAGTAAGCAAAATTAATTCTTGATAAATCATTTAAGTGGTTCTAAAATTATATTATATTTCATTTGTGTTGGTAGTCAGCGTCAAAGGATGGAAATTCTACACTTCCTCCAATGGTTGATTCCAAAGCTAATGCACTTGAGATCAAGGAATGGGAAGCAGGAAGACTTATAGATGAAATAGCTTCTAGTCAGGGTATCAGAATTAGGAGACGGCCACCCACTGGACCCCCTATGCATTATGTGGGCCCCTTTGAGTTCCGGTTGCAGAATGAGGGCAATACTCCTCGTAACATTCTAGAGGAAATAATATGGAACAAGGACATTGAAGTATCAGAAGTATGTTTATGCTCCGTTTCATATTTTTCTTTTTCCATTATAATGTGATGGATTCACCCCTTACATTCCTTAAACTTTTTTTTTTTAATTTCCAGTTAAAAGAAAGAAAGCCATTATCTCTTCTGAAGAAATCTCTTGAGAATGCTCCGCCTGTTAGAGATTTTGTTGGTGCATTGAAGGCATCTCATATGCGAACTGATTTACCAGCTCTAATAGCTGAAGTAAAGAAGGCTTCTCCAAGCAGAGGCATATTGAGAGAGGATTTTGATCCGGTAAATTTTCTATTTGTGTACGTGTCTCTACAGTGTTGCATGGGCTTTCCTAAATGGTTGAAGTGTCTGTGTTGGACACAAATTGGATTCTGACAATTCTTAGATTCTTATGGACATGCCCACAAGTCTGTGTTTTTCTGTCTTGCCAAAATCAGATTCCCAGACAATTTTTCTGTCTTGCAGTTGCACCAAATTTGTGCTGATTTGTGTTTCTACCTGATTATTTGGCAATCATTTGTCTCTGACTTCATGATCTGAAACAGATTCAAATAGCTGAAGCTTATGAGAAAGGAGGAGCTGCATGTCTTAGTGTTTTGACAGATGAGAAGTACTTTCAGGTACATTTGACTAATTGACATTTATGGGGTGGAGAGATGTAGTTTTTTTCTACTAACATCAATTGAAGAAAGGTTTTTTCGACTAATTGGCTCTTTCTTTTGTTTTTCTTTTCTTCACTAATGAAGGGAAGCTTTGAAAATTTAGAGGCAATACGGAATTCTGGAGTAAAGGTCTGCCCTGATAGATATGTCTTCTAATCTTTCTTATCAACACATATTATCTTTTAAATACAACCTTCTCACTTCGAAAAGTTATGTAGTGTCCTCTTCTCTGCAAAGAATTCATCATTGATGCCTGGCAAATTTATTATGCTCGGACAAAAGGGGCAGATGCAGTTCTTTTGATTGCTGCTGTATTGCCTGATCTTGACATAAGCTACATGACTAAGATATGCAAAATACTTGGCTTGGCTGCATTGGTGGAGGTCTGTTGATTGTTTTCCTGCCACATACTTTATTATTTTAGTAATTGCATTGTTTTCTTCACATTTCTTCTTTTTATACGTACCATTTCTACAGAAAAAGGAAAGAAAGATTCAATATTCTGTTTATTTAACATGGTTAGTGTGTAACTAATATCAAGTTTTAGTGAATTGAGGCCAAACTGACAGCAGCTACTCTTTGGTCCAAATAGACTGATTTTTTTTTTGTTCCTTTTAATGCTTCTAAGTAATTATTTGCAAGTCTTTATTGAAAAATGGAAAGTTGACAGACAATCTATTTGACTTTTCTGAAGAGATACAACATTATCATATTTGGTTTATTTATCTTCATTTGGGCCTATGTCTGTCATTTTCTATTTGCATTCCTTTTATGAAAGAAAAAGGTATTGCTCTTGCAGTGATTAATTGAATGCTATTGTTTGCATGGTTTTCTTTGTATTTTCTTTTTTTTTACCCTCTTAAGGTGCACAATGAAAGGGAAATGGATCGTGTTTTAGGAATTGACGGAGTGGAACTCATTGGCATCAACAACCGTGACCTTGGTAATCTCTCTCTCTCTCCCCCCTCCCTCTTTATCAATGGCTAGCTTTATGAAGTGGTTAAATCTTGGGTGTGGGAACACAGGATCTGTAGATAGGTCTGGGGCTCCTATAACTTGCCAAGTCTCCCTTGTTTTGAGCATTAAACCCACCGTCAGATTGGTCCTCCCTAGTAAATCAGCTACACCAAAAAATAGTATGCACAAAAGGTGTTATAATAATCTGATTCTACTGCATTTAATTGGATGAAGAAAAATTCCTTTTAAAGTTAAAAAGATGGCCTACAGATAATGCCCAAATTTTGTCTAAGAATCATCTTATTATGTTAGTTCTTGGTATTTCCAATCTTTCATTTAGGACCTATTCAGTGGTGGTCATGATTCTTAAAATATGAGACCGGTGAGAAGTGATGAGGCCCAATCCTTGTGGAATTCCACTTACCCAAACCTTGTCCTTGACTCCATGGTTTTTATTTTTCCAATCCAAACTTTTTCTTTAACAATGACATCATCATCATCATCATCCACGCCTTATCTCAACTATATGGGGTCGGCTACATGAATCCTATCTCGCCAATCCATTCTATTTAAAGCCATATCCATTATTAAATTATTAATGCTTAAATCATTTTTTACTACTTCTACCCATATCCTTTTTGGTCTACCCCTAGCTCTTCTAGCCTCTTCCACTTGTAAAAAATCACTTCTTCTAATTGGAGTTGTTGGTAGTCTTCTATGCACATGATCAAACTATCTTAGTCTACTCTCCCTCATTTTGTCACCTATTGGAGCTAATCCTAGGTTTCTATGGATGGTTTCATTCTTGGTCCTATCCTTCCTAGTTTTTCCGCTTATCCACCTTAGCATTCGCATTTTTGCCACACTCATTTTTTGAACATGTTGTTTCTTGATTGCCTAACACTCTCTTCCATACGACATAGTTGGCCTTACAACTTTATAGAATTTTCCTTTTAGTCTAAGAGGTATTCTCTTATCACACAAAAGTCTAGATGCATCCCTTCATTTTGCCCAACCTACTCTAATTCTTTGGGTGACATCCTCTCTATCTATCCCTTGTTATGAACTATTGAACCAAGGAATCGGAAATGGTCACATTGAGTAATATCTTGGTCCCCAATCCTAAGTGTCTCCTGATTTACACTCCTATTATTACTAAACTCACATGTCATATACTCTGTTTTAGTCCTATTTATTTTAAAATCTCTTGTTTTTAGGGAATTTGTTCATAGGTTTAATTTTGCATTTAATCCTTCATTAGTTTCATCAATTAAAACAATGCCATCTACAAACAACATGCACCACATAACTTCTTCCTGAATGTGTTTAGTCAATTCATCTATGATCAGTGCAAATAGATAAGTGCTAAGTGTTAAACCTTGGTGAAGAGTAGGGGTTGCCACAAGCCGAGCTTCTCACGAGCTATTCAAGCTCAGCTCGTGAAAAGCTTGGTTTGGCTCGGTTTAAACTGAGCTTCGAGCCGAGCATGAGCTTGATATATAGGCTCGTTTGCTAATTGAGCCTAGTGTAATAAATAAATAATTTTTTATTACATACATATACATATACAAAAACATATACATATATAAATATATATATATATAATAAATAATTTTTATTATATATAATAGTGTTTTTATTTTTATGTATAATAGTAAATATTTTTTATAATTCTTATTTTTTGTATGTAAAATAAAAACATTTTCATATGTATGTTTTTCGTTTTTTATATGTATTATAATAAATAATTTTTATAATTCTTAATTTTTTGTACGTAAAATAAAACATTTTTTTATATGTATACTTTTTATTCTTTAGAAAAAACTTGGCTTGTAGTTGAGCTCAAACTTGCGAGCTTTGAATCGAGCCGAGCTTGAGCTCAAGTCTCTAGCTCGAGTCTCTAGCTCGAATCGAGCTTGAGTCTCTAGCTCGAATCGAGCTCGAGCTCGAGCTCAAGCTCTATCCTAATTCAATTTCAGTGAGCCAAACTGGAATAGCCAAGTATTTGGCTCGGCTCGACTTGAATCCACCCCTAGTGAAGACACATCTTAATTGTAAAATTTGTAGTATCTCCTGTTGGTGTTCTAACATTGGTTGTTACCCCTTCATACATATCCTTAATTAGGTCTATATACCTATTTTGAAACCCTTTCTTTTCCAAGACCCACCATATTATCTCTCTAGGAACTCTATCATAAGTCTTTCTAGATCAATGTACACCATATGAAGATCTTTTTTCTTCTCTTTGAACGTTTCTATTAATCGTCTCAAAATTTATATAACTTCCATGGTTGGTCTCCTTGGCATAAAGCCAAACTATTCCCTAATACACTTGTTTCAAGTTGTAATCTTTGTTCAATTATTCTCTCCCAAAGTTTCAGTGTGGTTCATGAGAATTATTATATCTTTGTATATCACCTTTGTTCTTAAATATAGGCACCATTGTTATTTCTCTAATCATCATATATCTTTTCTTTTACTGTTTTATTATATAGCTTAGCGATAGCAACCCTACCTCTCCCATACCTTTTCACATTTCTATTAGACCTTATTAAGTGCCTCTTTTACTTCAAAAGGTCTAACTATATGAAGGTATGCATTATTTTTAACACTATTAGTATTGCTAGCTTTTCCTCTGTAGTCGTATGAGACTATTGACAGCCCAAGCTGTGGTGTATAATCAACAGGAAATTAAGAGGATGAGAGGAGAGAATGAGAGGAGAAAGAGAAAAGAAAAGAAGAAGATTTCGAAGGAAGGATTTCAGAAAAGAAGAGGATGCTTAATTTGCCGCCCTCCTCTTTCTATTTATATTAATTCTAAAGTAAGGATAAGACTGCTTACATGGCAAAATTAAAATCCTAATAAAAAACAACAATTAAAGTCTTAATAAAAGACTAACAACTAATTGTGGACTGACACTTAAATAACTAGTAGTTGTATACGAGTACAATAGAAAGAGGTGGGGACCACATCAGTGGTTTCTACACTCCCCCTCAAGTTGGGAATAGATGTTTGTCATTCCCAACTTGCATAGATCTGCTTCTAACTTCTTCTTTGAAATTGCCTTGGTGAGAAGATCAGTAAGCTGCATGTTGGA